GGTAAGAATGGGTAGACAACAGGGAGAAGCATATTTATGGGTTCACCGTGCCCTATTCCTCCTGAATAGCCAGGAATTTAAGAGAATTTCTAACATTCATTCTGGAACTGGAGTATCTGCTGAAGATTTCCATTCATTTGCATCTGGCTTCCCTTTTACTTTACTGATGCACATGTGAGCAATTAAACTAGCAGCAGTAACAAAAGAAAAACAACAACAACCCCTCTTACTGTGATTGATAAAAGAGCTGCATTGGTGGCCAGTTTGTTTCCCGGCACAATTCAAGCTGCTCTGATTCGTGTTTAAAGTCCTAAATGACTTGTTGTTGTTGTTTAGTCGTTTAGTTGTGTCCGACTCTTTGTGACCCCATGGACCAGAGCACGCCAGGCACTCCTGTCTTCCACTGCCTCCCGCAGTTTGGTCAGACTCATGTTTGTAGCTTCAAGAACACTGTCCAACCATCTCGTCCTCTGTCGTCCCCTTCTCCTTGTGCCATCAGTCTTTCCCAAATGTCCCAAATCTTTCCCAAAAGTCCTAAATGACTTAGGCCTTTATATATATCTTTTTCTTTTCTTTTTTGAAAGTGCAGTTTGCATTTATTTTCTGCATGTATGGTCCTCTGTAAGGTCACACAAGTACTTAACACACCAACCAAATAGTTCCTACATTCAAATCACACTCATGTCAGTGAAATGTTAATTCTATACAAATAAAAAATGATAATAATTAAAACAAAACAAAAGGACAAGTCAGCAGGAAGAAAAGAAAAACCCTAGTTCTAAGTTAACAATGATAGAATGCTACTGAGACAACACCATAGAAACTTCACTGAAGCAGGAGTTAAATTCAGGCCACGACTTAGCAAAGCTCATCACAGACTTTGAAAAATATTGTTGTTTTCTTTAAACTTTGGGTTTGGGAGTCAGATTTTCCAGTGTGATGAGTCATTCAAAAATGCTAATGCAGAAGCATAACGATTCCACCTGGTGGGATAAAATATATCTAAAGACTGTATTCTCCCCTATAGACACTCTCAAGCACTGTTTCTCAACTTGTGGGTCCCCAGATGTTGTTGGACTACAACTCCCATCATTCCTAGCCAGCATGATAGTGGTCAGGGATGATGGGAGTTGTAGCCCAACAACATCTGGGGACCCACAGGTTGAGAAACACTGCGTCTCAAGTGTTTAGTTCAACAGAAGGCACCTTTTTGGGAGCTCCCCGCCCCCATAAACTTGGGACAGCCTCTAACTTGTGGAATTCTCTCTCCAAAGAGGGGCTTTTTAACACCTTCGTTATGCAGTTTTTGTCATATGCCCAAGACACACTTCATTACCCTAACCTTTAACAGTTGGGGTGCATATTTTTTAGGACACACACTTTTCTCGTAATTGTAATCTGTTTTAAACCCTTTTTAATGTTGCATTTTAAATTGTTGCAACCTGCCCTGGGACTTTAGGATTAAGAGTGAGAAATGTGTGTGTGTGTGTGTGTGTGTGTGTGTGTGTATGCGTGTATGCCTCTCCCTTTGGTGCTTTACTGATGCACAAAGAATCTTGATACAGTTGTAAGAAGAATCTCATCAAGTTTGCTTTTCTCTGTGCATTTATAATGAAAGGCATGTGAGTTAGATTTGAGCTGAAATTTCCCAGAAGACTTCATTTTTACTATTTCTGGGATATTTCATTGCCTCAGAAAAAGAAGACCACTCTGCAGAAATTACTCAGATAATTCTCCATTCATTTGATCCCCATTTTTAAACAAGCAGATCTTAATTCACACCTTCCAGACTAATATCTGAATTGGAAAGTAATTATACTTCAGCTTTCACACTTTTTTGAATTTTGTGATCCACCTCGCACCTTAAAAATGTGTTCAAATGCTAAACAAAATTTTGTGGGGTTTTTTGCTGGTAAATGCATTAAAATTCATATTTAAATATGATTTTTTTATTCAAAACGTTTTTAAAAATAGTAATAGATCAAAGTATAAATGGGAGCAAAATAGACCTATGAGTGAACAGATACAAAATTTGCACAGGTGTGAAATAACATTCTCTATTATTGTTTTTGCTGCTGCTGCTGTCATCAACAACATCATTATCCCACAATGCCCCAGAACACGGCATTTGTGGAAAATATAACATAGTGCTCATGCTGCTTAGACAGTTTCTGTTCCTATCACTTACAGGAGCAGCAAAAGGACAACATCCCCAAACAACCCCAAATCCTTCATCTGTATGTGTCTGAAATGTGTCTATTATTATTGGAGAACCCTGCCATCTTGGAAAATACACCCATGCAAACGCACACACACTCTTGGAAAAATGAAGTAAAATGTCTCTCCTGATTTCTCTCATATAGCTAGAGTGGAGAGTTTTGAGAAGCTGTTTGTATTCTCCTCTGGTAGAAGAACTGTGGCCAAAATTCAGAAGTAGGTTCTGGAGCAGGGGAGAATTCCTAATGCATGGGGAAACCAACACAGCGCCCTCCATGTGCTGTAGGACTTTAAATTCCCATAATCCCTGTGGCCGGTGCTCAGGAATTATGGGAAATGTAGTGCAGCAAGATATGGAGGGCACAACATTAGCTCTCTCTGGCTGAATGAAACTTGACCAGGTAAATCTGAGAGTATTGGTATGGGAATCAGCACTCCTCCAGGCATTGGGGTCCCAAGTTGTTTGGGTCCTCTGCAGCTCAACTGAAAACAATTTACCTCCCCAGTGACAAAATTAGATGGCATCCACTGCAATATTGGAGATAGTCTCTGGAGATTATAGATTAAATACTGTTTGTTTAATGGAAGTCTCCCTAAAGCGGCTTCATGTTTTTCGGCCATAAATCATTCCCCACAAAAAGTAATATTTATGCAGTTACATGCTGATGGCTTAATTCCTTTAATCTTTTAATATTCTATAACTAGCTTCTACTTATTGCTCAAGATCCCCTTTGGAAAAAAAAAAATCTTCTCAAGCATCAGTGTTGCTTTGATCGGTAGGCGGTAATGATATCCTGAAAACGGCATAGCAGATGGATTGATCTACACATGCATCTCTCAGTTTAAGTTATCTCACAGGGTAGCTGTAAGAATAAAATGTATGGCCTTCTTAGGGGAGGATTTTGAAATAAATGCAATTTTATGATTTGTTTAGCACAATACCAGATGACGCCATGTTTCAAATATGAATCAATCCCTACAGGTGAGAATTTCAAATTATTTGATGCCAGCTACTTTCCAATTTAGATGGTTCACAGGTTCAGATAACATGCATGACCTCTAGTCATTTGCAGGAGGGAGATCTTTTCTTAGTCAGGCCTTCACGGGAGCAATTTGAAGGAGGTAGCCATAGGAGTCCTGGCCACCTTAGAGCATCCTAGCACACAGAAAGCTAGCACATCAGGGCAAGGTTGGCTTAGAATCCTTGCTCATTTTCCCATGCCTGGAAGTTTTTGACAAGGGAGTTGCTTCAGATATGTGAAATGGTCAGAGTCTGTGGGGCCACACCCTACATCAGGCACCCCCAAACTCAGCCCTCCAGCTGTTTTGGGACTACAATTCCCTCCATCCCTGACCACTGGTCCTGTTAGCTAGGGATGATGGGAGTTGCAGTCCCAAAACATCTGGAGGGCCGAGTTTGGGGGTGCCTGCCCCACATGCTGCTTCTGAGCATGTTGATGTGCCTTAAGACTCCAAAGTTTCTAGACATCGGTCTTGTTCCATTGCCATGCAGTTTGTTAGCTCTGTTTTGATGGCACTGGATGTGACACCCGTATGGTTGACAGGAAATCATACCGCTTGAAATTCTTTATTGGTGCCGGTGAATCTGAGCAAAATACAATTCCATCTGCTAGCATCAATTTGCAAGAGGTGTCTGCAGAACATCCTATGGAGTTGCGAGCAAATGAGGTTTCATCTCATTGTTAACAAGGTTGAAATGCCTGGCCTGTCACCAGCAGATATGACCCTCGTGCTCCAGCGGGCCTGTTATATTGTCTGTTCCAGCTGGTGCTATTGGTTGTTAATCAGAAGTGTTTATACCTTTCCATTCTCACTCGATTCCTGCCCTCCCCGACCAACTTTATATTCAAAGTTGGTTCATTACCAGGTGCATTGTGACAACCTGGTCTTGACATTTTGCTGTCAGCTCCCAGTGATTGGTCAATATTACTCCTGTCACCCATCACAATGCAGAAAATTTGTGATCACACCAATTAGGATGTTTACTCAATGTTTGGTTTGCAAGATAGCAAACTCCAAGCAGGGGATTGAAGCCAGGTGAGTAAGAAAAAAGCAGGAGGTGGGTGTGAGGGCGAGCTCCTGTAATGCAGGCACAAAGCAGTAACTATTGACGTAGCGAAACCAGATTTGCAGGACATGCTGCAATAGGCAACAGCCCTGTAGATCTGGTGTGAAACTAGACTCTTGGTGTCTCTAGGGCAGGGGTGCAGAACCTCAGGCCCAGGGGCCAAATGCAGCTCTCAAGAGCCATGAGGACTCTCCCCAGGTCGCTCTTCTTACTGGCAGCAATTCACATCCTCTTTGAGTGTTTTTGACGGCTGGGATGCATCATTAAACTCGAATGCTCACTCTCGGGTGGAGAATAGAGAGGGGTGTGTAGAAGATTGGAAACTGCTTTATACTGGGTCAGATCATTGGCATACCTGTCAACTGTCCTGGAAAAACCGACACATCCCATTTCCCCCGTGAGAGCAGGGCAGCAAAATTTCGGGCCAAGATCTCGCCCTGGCAAAAGCTTTTGGGGGGGCTCTGAGATTTTGCAAAGCAGCCCCAAACACATGCTTTTAGGTGCTGTGCATGAAAACAAGTGCCTTTTCCAGGTCTGTGATCTTGTGCGGGTCATGTCACTCACACAGGAGTGCGGACCCAAGAGATGGTGTCCCAGGTTTGGGGCCACATCACATTGGAGGGTATGTATTTTGCTCAGTACACTCACGACACTGACTGGCAGGGTTTTAGACATTAGTCTCTCCCAATCCTACTAGAGTTGCCAGGAATTGAACCTAAGGCTTTCTGTGTGCAAGGCAGATACCCTGCCACTGAGCTATGGCTCTTCCCAAAGGGGATGTGTGTGTGTGTGTAGAAACTAGACCACCATGCAAAGGTAAACATTTACATTTCTTGCTCCCGCCCTCTGTCAGGCCTGAGGAGTCTCTCCCTCCCCTCGTGATGGTTTCAAGGAGCCAGGAGGAAACAAGAAAGCTTTTACTTATGATTTATTCAGTCACTGTGGTAACAGACAAAGAATTCCAGTCTTTCCTCCATGAAAGAGTTGCTCACTCTGGCTCCTCGTCCTTCCCCCTTCCCCAACAGCCCCAGCCCCTACAGAAGCCTCCCGTTGCCAAATGTCGCTGCGTATGTTGCTCTTGCACCCTCAACGACCGTCGCATCCTAGGGGACGGAGGATCCTCTATGCTGTCTATTGAAGTGTTTGCTGGCTGCTCTCTGCCCTTCCTTACTTCTCCTAACTCAGCATAGCTTGGCTGCTTGCCCTTCTCTGCCTCATTATCTCCCTCATAACTTGGCTGCACTTCAATACTGTCTCTCCCTGTCCTGTCAGCTACAGGAGAAGGGCGGGGTAAGATTCCCACCAGGGCCGTCTTTACCCGGGGTGCAAGGGGTGCGGGGCACCTGGGCGCTAAATTCTGGGGGGTGCCAGACGCCCACCACTGAAGCCACCTAAGCTCTTAACTATCTACCTGTTACGAAATAATAAATAATTTTAATCAAGCTAGAAAAACAAAATACATATATACCTAGGTATTACCGAAATGTATTGACTTTGTGCGCTTTTTTAGCAAAGACAGGCCGCACCAGCGGTGGCGCTTGTCATTCACAATGGCGGTGCTTGTCAGACTCAACAATTTGGGGCACTGGGTGGATTTTTGCACCCCAGCAGACTTCCCTGATCCCCACCATTCTTCTGCTTCTTCATTCCAGTCCCTGAAACCCCTGTCCATTGGCACAAGGCCCCTGGAAAGTCTTCTAGATGTTGTTGGACTAAAGTTCCCATCATGCCTGACCACTGGCCAGGCTGGCTGGGGACTGATAGGAGTTGGAGTCCATCAGCATCTGGGGAACACCATGTTAGCTACCCCTGCAGTAGCTTTTGCCAGCTGTGGCTTTCCTCTCAAGATTACTAAACTGTTCTTAGAAAATAGATGCCGGCTTCCTATTGATTTTAATTGAAGTCCAGTTAGTGTCAGAAACAAAATGTTTATGAAGTCGTCTCTATTGAGTACAGAAAGATGGCAGTGTTTAGATCTCCCTATGCCCGATCAAAAGCAGCTCACTAGACAAATGGAGAATGCATGTCCTTACACACAGACACCACTGGGCTAGTTGATTTAATACAAAATCGGCGCTACATTTGTGCTACATTTGAGATTATCGTGGGAGGGGTGGTTTGCGGGGGGAGAGGATTGTATACCATAGAGGCTGATTTAAAATCTTTATAGTTATGCCACTGTTTAATGCAGGGCCACTGAAAGTAGGCGAGGCACAGCAATTATTATAACTGATAAGCTACTCTAGTCAATTTGTTAAGCACTAGCAACTCCTGCTACTGCATAGCGGCCAAGATTAACTTGCTACTTATTCAGGTATTATTACCCCTCCAACGACATTAAATGTTCCACTCCTCACAGTCACATACAAGTCTTTTTATATATTATATAATAATGTACTATGTAGGAAACAAATAATGGCTGTTGTTATGGAGAATGGGTACAGCAAAATTTAGCACGTTCCAAATTATCTTGGGCTACCAGGTCTCTTTTTCCTCCATGCTGTGCAGAAGAGACATGCTGTTCTTGCTTATCCAATCATTTAAGAATATATAAGGGCCAGAAGCAAAAGTGGATAGAGCAAAGATGCAACTCTCACATTTTTGTATAGTTGTGTGCATTCCAGCCACAGAGCCAGTGTGGTGTAGTGGTTAAGAGTGGTGGACTCATAATCTGGTGAACCGGGTTCGCTTCCCTGCTCCTCCACATGCAGCTGCTGGGTGACCTTGGGCTAGTCACACTTCTCTGAAGTCTCTCAGCCTCACTCACCTCACAGAGTGTTTGTTATGGGGGAGGAAGGGAAAGGAGATTGTTAGCTGCTTTGAGACTCCTTAAGGGGAGTGAAAGGTGGGATATCAAGTCGAAACTCCTCCTCCTCCTCCTCCTCTTCTTCTTCTGTCAACAGTTTCCTACTGTCATGAGCTGGCAGGACAGTTAGGAAGGGTAAGAAGATCCTGGTGAGGGGTGTAGTCATGATTGGTACACAACATGACAAGCTGAAGAATGGGAGGGGAGGTTGGGGACTTAGGAGGTACTCATGGGACATCAGAGGATGTTGAAGGGGCAGCTGACAGTTCACAGGAACCAGCGAAAGGGGACATATCACCAGAACCAGTGTTGCCCACGTTTCCATGAACAAGGCATGCTCTGAGGTGTCAGGAACTGTGGGAAGTGCACTTTAAGAGACTGAGGCAGGTGGGGAACACAGCCCAGTTTACTAGTTGATCAGGTGAAGATTATGGGGCTTGTTAGGTCTGGGAGGAAGTTGTGATCACTCAGCTGGATTAAGCTCAGGTGAGGATCACATGTTTTGTCAAGTGGAGAGGCACTGCTGCTGGGCTGGAACAAGCTCAGGTGTGTCAAACAAGATTGGGAGGAATGAAAGGGAAGCAAGGCAGAGACTCTGTGTTTGTTAAACGTTCTCCATTGATAGTTCATGGCTTGGCTGCTTCAGGAACTCCACTGGACTGACATTTTAGGACTGACCATAAGATTCAAAACTTGAATTTTCTGCAGAGCTTTATGGTTTGACCTTAAACCTTTCTCACTGACCTGAACCTGTTTGGAACCATTGGACTATTTGACTCCTTTCTAGTATTGCTCTTGGGACTGTGGTGCACTATCAGGACTTAACCTCCGAGTATACGGGGTCCACCTCCAACTCCTTATCCAGGTAAGTAAGAGGCATTATCACTGCTCAACGACACGTTCCACGTAGGCAAAACCACTTGAGGGCGCACAGCTGGGCTGGTGAGAGGTGTTGCTTGAGGAGAGTCTTGAGGGCTGAAGAGAGAGGCTAGGAGAGCAACATTTGGCCCCAGGTCTGAAGTTCCAAACCACTGCTATAAATCATGAGTCTGCCACTCATGCTTCTTGCAGCAAGGCTGACTCTGCAGGAAATTCTTGTGTCATGAGAGGGAGGGGAGAAAATGTAAGGTGCTCTCAGTTTAAAATGGGGGGGTAGTCCACCTGTATTCCCTCCCCCACAAACCTTGCTTTCATGGTCTCTAGATTGCTGAATCACATGCTCTGCATATAGGAAGTCTTGCTTTGAGCCTTGGCACTTTCAGTTAATGAATCTTGTGTGTGGTCCCACTGCCAACTTGGAGATCCCCTGACAGTTAAAGCAGAGACTCCATCCATGGATGGCTGTTGCAATAATTTTTGTTAAAAATATTTACAACCCACACTTCATCTGCACAGATGCCAGGGTGGGACAGAATGCATAATTGCATCGCTTGCATGTGGTGCCCTCTCCCACAGCACCACTAATCCACTTAGGACATGGAGAAAGGCCCCCCCACTGAGGACTGATCTCAAGACATAGGCAGGCTGCTATAGGGAGAGGTGATAGTATAAGGTAGCTTCATATCTTCCTGTCACATTAGTTGAGGATAATGGATAAATCTTGGAGCTCAACAGGGGACACGTACCAAGGCCAATTTTAAAATGTGGTTCTGATGGCACAGTCACACTATACACTTAAAATCACTACAATACGACTTTAAACAGTCATGGCTTCCCCCAAAGAATTCTGGGAAGTGTGGTTTGCTGAGGGTGTTGAGTTATCAGGAGCCCCCCATTTCCCTCACAGAAAAACAATTCCTAAAGTGGTTTAACAATACCAGGGAACCCTCACAATTACAGCTCTGTCAAGGGAACAGGAATCTCCTAACATCTTCCACCTGAGGTGGTTGCCTCACTCTGCCTAATGGTAGGGCCAGCCTGGCCTAGCAGTTTTGGTGGAAATAAGCATTACCCTTCAAACAATGTGCATGTACCGTATTTTGTGATAGATTATGCAGGGTGGATCTTACCTGTCCCCTCCCTAATATTTTATTCCAATTGGCACCCCTGGTTGTAGAAAAAGTTCTTCTCTTTCTATTTCTAGGCAAAAAACAAAACATCAAAGTTTAACCAAATTTGTTGCTTACATTTTCTTGTGGCAACTTTTCTTCTTCATTCCTGTTGATTTCTGGGTGTCATACTGCGGCAGCACTACATGAGTGAAGACCTAATTGATTAGGGATAATGCAAGTAGTTAAGTTTTAATCCGGCCATCCATCCCTCTGTGGTATCCTTCAGAATTTCAATCGATCCTCTCTCTCTCTCTCTCTCTCTTAGGTCTTCTTTGTGGTAATGATAGAGGCTGTTGGCTCAGGTCAGTGTCTTTGATCAATTAAAGTGCAGGGAGCTGGCAGGAAATGATGCAACAGAGTTCACCAGTTATACTGATAGCAATACATTATATTTTTTTGTAGGTTAGGAGGAGAGAGAAGGGTGGGGGAAGATGCGAGCAATTTCTGAGGTAAATTAATTCATGGACGCCTCTGAAATGCATTTAATATTGATTATTATGAGTCTCCCTCAGCAATTTTATTCATGCCACATGGTTTACAGGCACTAAGGTTAAAGAGCCCCAGGTGGTTTTAAAAGCTGCCTGACGTACCTGCAGGAAAATGTGCCTGGCAGTCATTTTGATTTTTGAGACAGCTAGAGATGCCTGAATCAGAGAAGCTTCTAGAAAGGGCCACCAGCTCTATCATTGGGCAGAATGAGGTGGCCACATCAACAGCCGATTCTGCATGTCATGAAAAGTCAGCAAATTGTGAGTTATTTTGTTGTCGTTGGATTTTTACTCCTAGGGAGAGGCAGTTGTAAAAATTTCTGTCTCAAATGGCAAAATAACTTGGCCAGGCTTGTATTCTAATAGATATACCAGAGGAAACTGTCAAGACTGACAGTTATCCTTCCTGGCCACCATTTTGGCACAAAATGATTTTCGCCTTGGCTCTCTATAACAAAAGTGGGTTGTTTGCAAAGCACTTAAATGTACTTTTTTAAAAAAAGCAATGTACAGTATTTGCAAATGTATTGATGCATAATTGGCACTTCCTCTACAGGTGCCTCATTGCTCCCCCCACCCCAAAGTTTGTTGTTTGTTTGTCAACTTTGTATAAGTTGCTCATTGCTAGAGGCAGGCTATAGGGACTAAGGCTGCAATTCTAAGCATGTTTACTCAGAAGTCTCAATGAATTCAGTGGTGCTCACTCCCAGATAAGTGGGGTTAGGTATGCAACCTTAATCTGCTTCCTGCTGTGAATTTTAATGCATTGTTCATTCCTGCTCCTTTCACATGGAAATTAGCTTGAGAGCTGTATTTCAATTGTCTGAATGTACTTTGCAAATTTAAAAAGGGACTTGTATGTGTTTAAGTGGCAGGAAACATTCCTACAATCCAGGACACAGAATGCAAAATATCAACAGGATCCTAAACTGTCCCCACCTCATGCCTGAGTGATGGAAATGAGACAGCATGACAAGTTTATACTGAACTGTGAAATCATGCCAGTGAGAGGCTGCAGTCCTGACCCCCTATTGCCTGGGAGTAAGCCCCTACTGAATACTTGCACTGAACACTTGGCAAGGAGGAGCTCAGCATTATGGAGGATAAGAGCCTTCTATCATAATAAAAGGTAAAGGTAAAGGGTCCCCTGACCATTAGGTCCAGTCGTAGCCGACTCTGGGGTTGCGGCGCTCATCTCGCTTTATCTGCTGAGGGAGCCAGCATACACCTTCTGGGTCATGTGGCCAGCATGACTATGCCGCTTCTGGCGAACCAGAGCAGCGCATGGAAACACCGTTTACCTTCCCGCCAGAGCGGTACCTATTTATCTACTTGTACTTTGACGTGCTTTCGAACTGCTAGGTTAGCAGGAGCAGGGACCGAGCAACGGGAGCTCACCCCGTCGCGGGGATTCAAACCGCCAACCTTCTGATCGACAAGTCCTAGGTTCTGTGGTTTAACCCACAGCGCCACCCGCGTCCCTCATATCAAAATAGCAGAGTGCATATTGAGAAAGAAACTCAAGAAAAACAAGTTACCTTAGCAACAATGATAGCATTGATTTGCTGGGCAGATTCTGGCTCTAAACAATATTTCCAATGAATTGTAGAGGTAGTGGCCCTCAGAAACCACCTAGATCAGGAGTTGGGGACCTGTGGCCCACCTGATCCTATTCTATTGGCTGTGATGGCTGTGGCTGGTGGGACTTGGGGCCAACCATATCTAAGGAAGCACAAGTTCCCCACCCCTGATCAAGGCAGACCCTTTCCATTGTGGAGTCTGCAGTGAGATTGTCCTCAGACTGATTAATTTAAACATCATCTGTCTCTAAAGGCTCACAATAATGTAGTCCTTAAGAGTCAACCTAGATGTTTTCCATTCAAACTAGAAAGAGAATTATGGTGAATCAGGTTCCTAGGGTGATGGGAAAGGGAGGCACAAGATTTTAGCTCAGGATCAGTTTAATTTTACTTCTGACAAGACCATTCTTCTGACCAGAGGAGTGGTGGACAGTTCAGTTCTTGTGGTACAGGAAGGAACTCTGGTTTAAAAGATACTTTTGCATAGTTGCATCTCGAAATGTCTCCTTACACCTGTTTAGTTTTATCTTGCTCTGATTGTGGCCCTCCTGGTTGATTCAGGTGCAAATATGTATTTCAGAACAGTGTGAGTGTGCTTCAAATGTCAATGATAGATTATCATGCTTAAGGAGGAGTTTTCCCAGTTCCATAAGTAGTCAGACTTTTGATGTTTTTTTCTCCTTGGAAGGATCGTATTCAGAGGAGAGAGAGCTTCTGAATATTTATAGCTATTTGAGTAGGTGGAATTATAGCAATAGCTTTTAAGGGTGAGCTGCTTATCCATTCAAAGATCAAATCTGGAATTTAAAACTGAGTCAACTATCCTGGGTCAGATGTTTTTAGTAGCCATCAACCAGTAGCTAACCTCACATGAGTCTAAAGGTAGGTGATAATAATTTCATGACTCATTAAGCTTCCTGGTGGTCCTCTGAAGCAGATCATAGTTCCCCGTTTTACAGGCATGAAACCAGATTTTGAGGTTGCATCTAAGCTGGGATTTAAATACCAGCCTGTCAAGAATACAAATCAATGCTTAAGTTCATCAGACTCCAGACCTCTGTAAGAAGCAGCTTCCTAAAGCACTTGTTGCTTATCCAAGTCATGTGCTACTACCTTTTATCTCTACTATACATTGTTACCGGAAAAATCTGAGGGCTCCCTTGGACAAAATAAAGACACCAACCAGGATAACTTGGAGCAAAACAGCAGCCTGTAGGCTTGGCCTTTATTGAACTGTTGCAACAGGGTGTTCCCCTCACTTGCAAGAGAGAGGAAAGACCCAGAAAGATGGTGTGCAAGACCTTATAAAAACTTTTGAAATTCCCATCCTCTAGGTCAAGCCCACCCCAAGAAACATCATGCATACATTACAGAAAGGAGGGGTTGAGGAAGGAGTTGTGGTGGTAACCTGAGTGTCCTGTCACCTGGCTGGTTCCTCCTTTCCCCCTCCCCATGAGTCACTTCCAGGAGACAAAGGGGAGTTGGCAGTTTCCTGCCCCCAGAGGGAAGATCTGATCATTGTCCTTTGTTTCAGTCCATGCTGAATCCACTCCCATATGCAAGTTCTTTGTGATCTTGACGGTCTTCTGTCTAGGACCATCAGGGTTGGCATAGCAACTGGGCAGGGCTCCTGTGGATGTGCTGGGATGATGAAGGGATTATGGCTGACCAGAACCAAGCCACCCCCCTTTGATAGTCCTTGTCATATGGAGTAAAATAAAAATGGAACAGTGCAAATCCGATGTATGGTTGATTTTTCTATGAATTTATAACAGAAGTGTGGCATATGTAGTGTGTGAGTGTGAGTGTGTGAAGTTTGTACAAACTGAATGATTGGGGTGGGGGGTTCCTGCTACAACATGAACCTTGAAAGTTAGTTGATGAATTGGTTTCCCTGGGTTCAGTTCAGATCATCTTGGAAAAGGGAGAAGGAGAGTTCATATGAATGGGCCCTCTGTGTCATTGGGCAAGGTTCATTCCAGGAACGCTATCTGGAAAATGGGGGGTAGAGACTCTCTGGCTGGGTATATGACATGAAGCAACATGTGTCTCACCCCATTGAGAAAACTCATCTATCATTATTCTCATTCACTGCATGCTCTGTAAGTCTAATAACTGAACAACAGGTCACAGTTCAGTGCTTAACCGATGCTGTAGAACAACCAAGGTGAGCTGATACTCCCTGGCATCTAACCTCATCTGACTGAAGCAAATGGCAATCACTTTCATTTTTTCAAAAGTGCAAAATTGCCTGTTTTAGAACATTACATGTATTATTTCAAAAGCGATCATGAGGGCACTTGGAGGGTAACACTCTTCAAGGTGAAGAGGCCCTTGCTGAATGCAGAATTTTAATGTGATGCCGCACAGCACCTAAACTTCTCAGATGTTGTCTCTACGACAGTGGCATTGCTAAGAATAACTGGGGAGAGGAGAATCGGAACAGGAGATATCCCTGAAGAATTTGACCTTCCTGTGTTGGATGTCTTCGAAGAACATCATGCTGAAATCCGGATAATGTTGCTGATAAATTGTGCTGCTGAACTATCCCTTCCCCCCGCTTCCGAGCTCTCTCAAAACTAATTTGTCTGGGTGTGAAGGATATGCTGCATATTTATAAATCTGCAGTTTGTACAGCTACTGTTTCATAACCTCTTATAGCATAATGATCGTTTAGTGGTCCTAATTCCCTTAAAGTAGAAAATGAAATGGATTTTCAAGGCATATAAGGTATATCAAATTCTTCTAATTATTTACTCTTTTGAAGTTTGATCTCATAGAAAAAGAAAATAGAATGTGCCTGCTTGGTGTGAAAGCTTGATAGGTGATGGGACATGAATGGGAGGTTGGCAGGTCTACCATGCTTCATGACAGTGCTGGCTCTGGCTCTAGGTTTTGGAGGACCTTTAGGCAACAGACTCTCAATTGTCTGTCCTGTCCTGTTTTGAGTCAGCTGCCTCATTCTGCCCAACAGTAGGGCCGGCCCTGGAGGGCTGTTCATTTCTTTGGTGCTATGATTACTGGAACACAGGCAGCTGTCAGTTCAGGAAGCTCTTGTCAGTGGGACCCCCTGCTATGTTGAGGACTCTTGGCAGATGCCTAACCTTGATGCTGGCTCTGCTTCATGAAACTATGAGTGGCTTCAGAAATTATGAACAGGCATTGTGGAATTGTTTTTCAAATGGTGGGATAGCCATTCCTGGAGATCCAGAGAGTGGCAACATGGGAACAGGCCTTTTCTGTAGTGGCTCCCTGCTTGTGCAATGCTCTCCCCAAGGAGGCTTACTGATGCCCTCTTTGTCTTGTTTTTGGCACCAGACAAAACCTTTCCTTTTCACTGGGCTTTTGACCCTTAGTCTGAAGGGTTTTAAAGTATTTGTGGCCTCTTTTAGCGAGGCGGGATCTGCCAGACCTGTCTTTTATTTGTATAGGTGTGTGTGTGTGTGTTGATTGATCATAGAGTTGGAAGGGATCCTGAGAGTCATCTAGTCAACAGTGCAGGAAATCTTTTGCCCAACATTTATCGTATGTCGTTTTAGTATTTCTTTGCGCTTGTCACTTTGAGTCATTCTTGGGAACAAAGCAATGGCAACAACCACAAGTGGACTCCAGTTCTCACTGAGGTGTCTAGGCTGCCCCACTTCAGACTGCAGGTGTGGGCTAACATCGCAAAATGCTTCTTTGTTGCCTTCATTCTCTTTTTGTTGTCTTTCCAGATATATCTAGTTGATTATGGGCATCAATGACCTAGAGCAGGGGTAAACAACCTTCAGAGGTTGTTGGAATCTAGCTGCCATCAGCCCCCAGACAGCATGGCTAATGGCCAGGGATCATGGGAGCTTTAGCTTAACTTTTGGAGAGCACCATGTTGGTTCTCACTGAACTAGATGGACCTTGAATCTGATGCAGCAAGGCTCTTCAGATGTTTTGCAATGTCATGTGTGTACACAAACACACACACAAACACACACCACATTCTCTTCATAATTATGATCACTTAGGTACTTTTCTCATAAACAAAACAAAGTGCAAGAGAAATAACATTAGCAACCCATTGCGGAGAGCTCATTTCAACATCTGCACTCAAATTGAAATAGCTCACGAAAAAATGCAGGTCTCCTCTTCCTGCCGGTTAGAAAATGTCATTTAAATGTCAGAGATTTCTACATTCTTGACAATAGCTTCAGTAAAAAACAATATGTAAAGTTTAACCAAATACCTTTTGAAAAGTCAACCCTCGGTTAAAAAAAAATATCAGTGTGATGTAAGGGAATACTGGCTTGTATTTGCTAGGGAATCATTGCAACGAGGATGTTTAGTACACTGTTATTGCTGGACGGAGCAAGGCCTTTCTGCTCTGAGCTAGCAGTACAGGGAGAGGAGGATGAGAAGAGGGAGGAAAGGCCAGGAATCTCAGCTCACTGTGACCACATCTGCATCATATGTTTAAAGCATTTGCACCACTTTAACAGCCATGGTTTCCCAAATAATCCTGGAAACTACTACTACTACTACTACTACTACTACTACTACTACTAATTTATTACTTATACTGTAGTTTAAGGTTGCTGAGGGTTGTTAGGAGACCCCTTGACCCCTCCCAGACCTACATTTCCCAAACTTCACTGGGAAGAATGATTGTTAAACCTCTTTTTGTATAGGCAAGCCGATCCAGAGGCAAAGAATGTTGATACGTTTTAATGTAGTTTTCAGGTTATTGCTGAGCTTAATTTTTTGAATATTAAATTGTTTTTAACTGTTTTTACTGATAATGTCATTGTTTTATTCTTTTGTGAAACACTGAGGTTTGTGTTGTATACGATCAAGAGGCATACAAATTTTCATAAATGAAAGACAATTTTTTATTTGTAAGATTCCTTGAGAACTATTAGGTGAGGCTAAAATGCTGTAAATACGTGCACTGCTGCCTTTCGTATTACATTTGTCCTGCAAATGAGTGACACCCCCCCACACACACATTCTGTGCGGAAGGCAAGGGCCAAGCTAATATGTGACCCAGTTGTTTGTGCGATTCCTTGGTTTGCTTTCACGAAGAACACAATTTCTCAAATGTGTGGCCTTCTCTTCCTTCTATTTTTTCTCCCTTTTGATTTTGTGTGTTCTTGCTCAAAATGTGGTTGATTGTTTAGGGTGCCTCATCACCTTCTGCCTTATCCATCCACGATCTTCTTTTTCTTTTAATGTGCTAGGTGACAGAGGGTTATTGGGAACGGAAGCTCAGGCTAGCACTCCGTAATGGAATCTCTGAAGCAATGCTACTTCTGGGGAGATAAAGAGTCACTGTCTTCCATTCTCCTGAGCAGATATTAACATCTGTCCTCCACAAACCTATCTAGTTCTTTTTCACCTGCTCTCTCCCGCCCCCTCTTCTGGGCTGGCAGTTCAACTGACTCTTTGATTTTCTAAGCACCTTACTCAGCCTAAAGAGCTACATCAGTTAGTTCCCACAGTATGTATCTGGTCTTCCCAGCCAGATTCAACTGAATTTTTGTACCTTTAAAGGATGGAGCTCATAATTTCCCTTGTTTTATTTTACCACCTCTGTCTCAATGAAGATGAGTGCTGATTTAGCATCCCAAAATCCACCTGAGTGAGAAAAGTTGCTCTAATAAACCCAACAACTTCCTCCTTTCATTTAGAGAGTGGAGCAGGTGAGGATAGGGGCATTAGCGTTCCTCCACACTTTATTCCTAGAAACGTTGTTTGGTTGCATGGTGAGTTCCCGCCTCCCCCAGAGGAAATAAAGACACATGACACCAGTAATTAAGGTTAATGGGCTAAAATAGGCCACAACTTTATTAGTTGCAGGTAATGAGTGGTATTGCAGGGACGCAGGTGGGGCTGTGGGTTAAACCACAGAGCCTAGGACTTGCCGATCAGAAGGTCGGCAGTTCAAATCCCCACGACGGGGTGAGCTTCCGTTGCTCAGTCCCAGCTCCTGCCAACCTAGCAGTTTGAAAGCACGTCAAAGTGCAAGTAGATAAATAGGTACCGCTCCAGCGGGAAGGTAAACGGCGTTTCTGTGCGCTGCTCTGGTTCGCCAGAAGTGGCTTAGTCATGCTGGCCACATGACCTGGAAGCTGTACGCTGGCTCCATCGGCCAATAAAGCGAGATGAGCGTTGCAACCCCAGAGTCGGTCACAACTGAACCTAATGGTCAGGGGTCCCTTTACCCTTTACCTTAATGAGCAGTATTGGCTTAGGCATTGGTCCTAACAGTCTATCCGGCTTCAGCCTGCATGCATAAAGACCGGGAAGGATTAACCACCAATAGAGGGAGTCCTGCTGATGCACATCAACTAGGAGCTCCCCTGGGAGCTCGGGGGTGTGCCTTGGGCCTCACCTCCAGGGCCACGACCCCCAGAATCCTTTAACGGATTACCCGGATCGAAGAAGCGGCCAAAGAGGGAGATCTCCCGGCTGTTCCAGTGCTAAGTAGCGCTAGACAGCCGATTGGCTGGCCGGGCTGTGACGCGGCCGGGAGTTCCCTCAGACATGCGGAGGTTGCAAAACAGCCCCTGTGCGCGTGGGGTGGGCGTGAAGCCCGCAACCCCACCTCCTTGCCAGTTCGGAAGTGGCTATGTCTGAACAGAGCTAACCATGCATATGATTATTTCCATATCCAACTCACCCACTCAGTTCAAGTCCTGTGCGGCAACACTAAACAAAGGAGATCTCAAGTTCTTTACTTTGAAATTTACCTATTTGAGTAAAGAGAACTATGCTCTATCTCTGAGCTATAGCCTCATCTTTTGTCCCACTGTTTGCCCTTCCTAACTGCTCTCTTCTCTTCTCCCACCTTCATCAATTGGCCTTCTTAATTACTTTCCATTATTTACCCATTCAGATGTTCATGCGTTTTCCTTCCCACCCAGTACACTACCGCCAGACATGTTTACTTGCATGGTTTAATCTCATTACACTGTTTCTCTGTGAATGAAGCCTGTGAGCTGTTTGTAACTGGATTATACACAGTGGCTTTTTTATTATTATCATTGCAATTTGCTAAACAAGGTTATTCAAGGACTGCTACTTAGTGCAGAATTCCTCTTTGAGACATTTCATGTCTTTGCCTCGTAATTCAGGCACTCAATTCAAGCTTTCAAGTTTCCATCTTTTTCCTCTGTTCATCTCACCCCCTCCTACCTTTTCTGTGTCTTTTTATGTTCTGCATTTGCTGGCAATAATAAGCAATGTGCCATTTTTTTCCCTCCAGCTGTTGAGAAACAGCTTTGTGACTTATCATAATGTCGGCAAGGACACTAGACTTAATCAGCAATGCAGAAAATGTAGCACTGAGCACATTGCAAAGAAAAATGGGAATTTGCAACAAAAGAAGAAGAGGAGGAGGAGAAAAAATGTTTGCTCCAATAAACCCACTTTTTTTATTGTTTCGCTTGTATTTAACATTTTGATCCAGAATGGTCACAAGGGTGTTGTGGAATCTCACACGCCCCAATCCCAGAGTCTTACTTCAAGGACAAGAATTCAATTTTTCATACAATTAAAAAGAGGGGAAAGGGGGAACAAAAATGAATAAAATCCAACAGCAACCCGACCCT